AGATTTAAATCCGTTGGACTATTACGTGTGGAGTGTGATTGAAAGAGTCACTAATAAATCGAGACATCCTAATGTGGCATCTCTCTAGGCCGCTATTGAAGCAGTATTCTTCAATATGGACAAGCCGGCGTTGCAGAGAGCGTGCAATCGCTTCAGGCCTAGGATCGGAGCAGTAATTGCGGTAAACGGTGGTTACATTGAATAATTTTTGTCAATAACAGTTCCACAAATGACATAAAAAAGGTTTTTGTAATTTTGTACGTTTGACCAATAAACTTTTGTTACATTGTTTATTTTGTCCGGATTTAGCTGACGTATGTATTTGTATATATGTATATATTTGTATATATGTATTATAAAAATAATATATTTATGTTACAAAAATAATACATTTATGTTATAAGAATAATATATAATATATGATTATAAATTTTGTTTTTATATAAATAAATTTTATAAATAAAATATTTGATTTTTTATTCTAATCTTAACCTAATTCTCGCCCTAACCTATAATTAGGACAATGAGCTGATGTCTAAAAGATAATATGAGGGATAACTAAAATATGTCTAAAAATAGCTTCCAAAGTAATTAAAAGAATGTTTAAAAGAAGCCTCAAAGACTCCTGAAAAATATCTATAATAATTCATCTTTAGTCATCATATAGATTAGACTTATAAGTGACTCAGTTCGGGTCATCCGATGACAAGTCAGCGGTACACGATGCTTGTTTTCGTGCTGGAATGCTTGTTGGATAGAAATACTGTTTTCTGATTAGTGCATTTCCAAATGCCAAAAATGAATGACAATACACCAATCAAAAACGTAATATTTCCATCGAGCAAGCAATCCAGCACGAAAACAAACATTGTGTGCAGCTGGCTTTAATCATAATCCCATCGATTAAACGCTCTCAGTAAAAGATATCTTTAACGAAAACGTGTTCAGTTTTAGTAATCCTTTTAGACGACTTTGTGCTATCTGGGTCGTAACCTCCTACTAGAATTAGTTTTTGAAGATCTGAACAGATTTAGAAAATAAAAAATGCATATTATTAAAAACAATTACGCTTCTAATTAGTTTCACGGTAGCATGCTTAAGTTATCAATAAATTTTCTGTACAATTAGAAATGTCAGATCTTTCTGGCATATATTATTTATCAATGTTTTGTCATATGAATCCAATTTTCCTATTCCTAGGACATTTGTACACAGTACATTTATCACAGTTCACACTAGATCCATTGACGTACTCGGCGACTATTGGCTCATATTGTGAAAATATTAAGAAAATAGAATAAAGTCTAAATTCCAATCTACATTCCCAATCATAGCCTACAAAATGTCGATTGGAGTTTCATGTTTCAATCTGATATCCAAACTCAACTTTCAATTTTAATCCATAGGGTATGTTCGGGGAAACACTATTAGAGCTAAATGCTGTTCTGCCGTGCAGCTATGAGATAGTACTAAGAAATACGATCATGACGTCACTAGTGGTAATGTTTTATGTCATAATTTCGTACTGTAAACGTTATTCCTTTCGAGGTAATGTAATGGTAGCGTTAGTGTTTGCAAGCTCCGTGAACACCCAGAACTGCACAACATTATGGTTACATTTGAGGAGTACGCAATCAACGCTAATGCGTTTTATTTTTGCTCTTCATTAGATATACAACAAGGATATAATGACTTGTTAGCACTTAGTGCTAATAGCGCGCTCCTCGAACACACTTTATATATTATAACTCCTGTACATGAATGTCGTATATTAATATAAGTACATCGTATTCGTTATTTTATTGTTATTCCCGTACGTAATGGACAGTTGTGTGAAAATAAGTTTTAGTATGTTGAAATTAAAGGCAAATTTAATCTATGATATTTACCTAATCTAAAAGGAAAGCTTAACTCCAAAAAGAATAGAAAAAAAAAATAGAAAAAGATATAAAATGACGAGATGTACAACGCAGGTATTGGTCTGTTTTTTTTAGTTGCTGTTGTATTGATGTAATATGTTAGAGTGAGACAAAATACACTTTTCTCACTCTAACTTATTGAAATAGTTCAGCAGGACAGTTAAAAAGAACAGACTAAATGCTAACGCTACGTTAATACCATTCGTGGAGCTTGTTATCACTTTGTTGTTATTGATCCCACGAATAGCATTAATAGCGTTTGCGTTTAAAGCGCTAATAGTATCTCTCCGAATGCACCCAGTGTAATAATGATTTACGATCAAGTGAAAAAATTTACAATCCAAATCTAACTTCATTGATCGATTTTTAATCCCCAATTCGCAATCCCAATCTTTAACCATAATCTGATACGGGCCTTAAACTTGTTCTGACTAGGACTTAAGCCCATATGGGATTATGGATTGAGGATTGAGATTGAATTGAATTTGGCCAATCAGTGCGAAATAAACTGAATTAAAATTTAGTGAAATTTAGTGAATTTTGCACTGATGGCCAAATTTCAATTCAATCTCAATCTCTAATCCGTAGTCTGATACGGGCTTCAGGCTAGTTTACAAAAGAGTCTTAAGAAATTAACCAATCACCATTGATTATTTTTTTATAATTTGATTGTGATTGGTTAATTTCTTAAGACTTAGGGCTTAAAGCACTTTTTGTAAACTAGGGTCAGTATTCATAGTCGGATCTTATATTTAAGAGATGCTTTCCAGCAAAGAACACTATTACACAGTGTGAGCACAAAGCTATTTTATTGATTACATATTATCTAAGTTATCCTCTAAGATAACATGCAACTAATAAAGTAACTTTATGACTACTATAACTAATTTATGTTTACACTGTGTAACACTGTCTTCCTTGTTGGAAAGCACTCAAGATCTGACTAGGAATATCGGCCAATGACATGTGCAACTGCGCCGCCTAGCATCGTGAGCGCGAGACTTCATAGGAGATCTCAGCGCTCGTCGTTGCGGTCGAGCTAGGTCGATTACCAGCGTTTTGTACATAGCACCGTGAGAGTGCGTAGTATTCAGTGGGAAAAATGGTGGTTATTTGGGTGTAGTCGGGGCGAATTTTCTGCAACACAAATGTGAGTACCGGCTGGCTAAGGGATTTACGAATGCTGTTTGTTGATACACAGCGAGGCTAGTATGATCGGGTGTGTGTCGGAGGTAATGAGAATACGAGATAGCGGACGGACACTCGTTCTCTCCCGCATGAAAACTCGAGACCGAAGTAGGTACTGTTCATGCATCTCTCTCCGCATGACATGTACATCGCGTGGATCTTTACGCGATACTTTATCAGTCAAAAATAACGGCACGCTGCGTGACGTCTTGCGGACGTCGCGGGATCGGCGTTTCTTCGTCTTCCTGGCGTACTGTCGCGTCCGCGGAACGCGCAAAACGTGTCCCGACGCGATATTTTTGGGATAGATGTCACATTATCTCGTCGCGGTGTCTTACACAGCGGTGTGTGCGTGTCACGGATATGTGTTTGCATTTATTGGACTTGATGCGAACGCTTCTGTATGCAATCTCTCTTGGCGTTGTATTATACGCGCTTCTTTCGCGTGACAGCGGTGCACGCTGCCGAGTTGTATTGATGGGATATATATGTATTTGCGACGTGTCGCGGTACACACATACGTGCGCGCACATTACACACCACACATGCGCGCACGCACACACGCGCGCACGAGCACGCACACGCTCACGCTCACGTTTCTCGGGACTCCCTACTAGCCGCTATATACTGTCATATTTTTCAAGCAACGTATCCCATGATGCTTGACAACATTCTGCGGCTTTAACAGCATAAATTTCTTCGTGTCTGTGTTCGACATGTGTTCATATGTATAGTCCTTATCAATTGCTGAATGTTCCTATCATATGTATTATTTTTTTAATTAATGTGTTGATAGTTTGAAAATGAATTGATTTATGGGCAATGGCCTCTGTTTGGAACCCATGCATCGATTGTACAATCTGTCACTCTTGTTTTTATTGCTAAGTGGATAGCTTTTAAGTCAAATATTGATAATTGAAAATATTTGTAAACTACAGTACTTTATATATATATATATATATATATATATATAT